GGTGATTTTAGCGAATTTCTATAAAGAAAAAAGAAAAACCACCACTTCAATCCAGGTTAAAAAAGCATTGTAACGTGCGTTACTCACATTTGTACCGAGTAAAATATTACAATTTTTCCCCCTGTAATGCCTTACATTACTGCGTTACAGCAAAAATCAACGCATTACTGTAATACATTACTTTTATAATACATTACTCCCAACACTGGCCCATTGTGCATCCAGTGTGGCCTGACTGAGGCCTCTCTCTGCCACATGTTTTGGACATGCTCATGCCTGCAAACCTACTGGAGGAACATTTTTAACACTCTGTCCTAGGTATTCAATATTAGGTTGGAACCAAACCCTGAATTGGCGCTTTTTGGTGTTTTGGAGGATCATGTACATTTTAGTGCTACAAAAAAATATTCTTTGACTTTTACATTACTTAAGGCACGCTGAGCCATTTTATTCAGGTTGAAGGATGCTAACCCTTGTTCACATTCACAGTGGTTACAAGATATCATGTCCTGTCTAAAGCTAGAAATTATTTGATTTACATTGAAACAAAATATTAGTGCATTTGAGAGCAGTTGTATTCAGCTCTTAAAAAGGAATAGGCTGTGGCATATTTACATGTGAATAAATACAGCACCTGATGTAAATATTCTACCCATGCAGTGACAGGATAAGTGTTTTTTTTTTTACCTGCCAGTTGTATGTGTATTTATATATTTGATAATTTGAAAAAAATAAAAACATCATGAGTTAAAAAAAAAAAGGATGCCATAAAAGTACTTGTAATTGTACCTATATTTCCATTAGATAAGAGTCTCACAATGTGAAAATGACTATGCTCCAATGGAAAGTACTAAAATAACAGAAGGCAATCAATCTGATGAGAATATTAGAAATACTTCAGTTACAAAGACACAATAAAATTAAACACTATTCACGCAGAGTGAAGATATAGGGCTAGAGCACTAAGTGGTGTAAGTGGTCATGACTTCATTGCATTGTACTAGTCTTGATTCACATACTGTAATGTTACAGTATTGCAAATTATGAATACAGGTGGATGACATTTATTGTGCCTATATTTACAAGATAAGAAAACCTTATTTTTTTCACAGTGGGAAAATTCCTATGCTGCAACACAAAGGTTAAGAACAGTAGGAGAATCAATCAGGAATCAAGACAATTATCTTAAAACTACCTAAATCCAATTAATTTCAATAGATACTAGACCATTATAAATACTTAGGATACAAAAAGGTAAAAAGAAATACAACACTGTCCAAGTAAAACACACAATAAGCTGCTATGACTTTGGTTATGTACAGTGCAGTTTAATACAATAGAGAATAAATATCAGGTAACTTGTGCCAGAGGTGCACATAATAATAATAATGATAATAATAATACACATAATGTTATTGTATTGCACATGATTAATACAAGTAGATGGCATTTATTGGAACTGTTTGTACTGCAGTTTCTGCAACAACTACTACCACTAGGTGCTGTTTGATTTGACTTGCCAATAAATTTTGACTCCTTGTTTTTAAATGCATTTTCTCATCCAACGCCAGCACATAACCATGTCTTAGCAATATCAAGGAAAATCTTCCAGAAAAAGCTTATTGCCAATTTACCCCCCACACCTCCTATGGCTGTAATTTGGGCAGTATACCGCACACAGATCTAACATGGCGGATTCTCCAAGGCTGTCGGAATGCTGTCAAATGGAGAACTGCTAGCAAATGCTTCCAGGCTCACTGGGACTCAGCGATGTTCATTTAGCAGTGCCTGTGCCAGATGGAGAGGCTTGTAAAATTGCAATGAGTATAAGCCCAAGAACTGCACTGAAATTTTACTAGGAATTAGAGTGCCATAATATAAGAAATGTTAAACAGGAATCTATAAAACAAGTGTGAAAAAGTTGGACCACTATTTGAATGTAAAGAGAACATATCATCTATTGGATTGAAAGCCCTGCATTGCATTACATTTCTATGTTATGTTATGTTATAACCTATGTTTCCTTATCACAAACATACCTGGAGCTGTGTTTTATTTTACTCACACATTCACACACTCACAAACACTCAAACACATACTCTCAAACAGAAAACACTCTGTTCTGCTTTGTGATGCCATGTGTTAGTACAGGAAGTGCTCTGCTGTGTTTTTAAACTCCATACATCTTCACTACAATCATTTGGATGATTTCAGCCCTGAAATTGTCAATCTCTACTGAACAAAAGGTACAAGGTAGCTGTTAACTTGAAAACTACCAATTCTTGACATCACACAGTGGAACAGAGCATTCTGACTTTGGAGATGTAGACAGACCAAACATGTGTGAACGAAACAAAATACAACTCTCCAGCTATGTCTTGATGAGTTGACAACATTATAACATAATTTAAAGAGTCAATTTTGTGTAACATAGGACCTTTAACAATGGATTTTAAACCATATAAGGTCATATAGACAAACATGAAAGATGATTGACAGCTCTGTGGATGATGTTACACTATGGGTGCACTTATAAGGTGGTTTTACTGACAGTGAGAGGAGACTCAGGCTGGGGTCATTGGAGCAGTGTATAGCAGTATTTCCCAGAATGAGGCAGCAAAATCGGACAAAATAAAAAAGGAGACAGGATACTTTTGAGAGCATTTGTTCAAAACAGTGGATGCATTTTCACATATCCTTCAAAACACTCAGAGTATAGAAATGCAGAGTTTTAGCTACTGAGTCTTTTTTCTATTATATCAGAACATGTTATAGGAAAAAAAAAAAAGAGCAGAGAGAAGGTTTTTAAGCATCTGTGGAGGGGAAATATGTCTTTGCTTTTCTCTTAGCTGATTTAGCTTTAAATGCAGTTTAACTGCTCGTTCACTCGTAAAGAATTCAAGTGAAGGTTCGGTCTCTCCCCAAATGCTTTCAGGGAGAGAAATCCCTGACTGATCATGTGTAGAACTGCAGTCCACTGCTCCTGACAGGGTGCCCCAGTTGGATTAAACAATGGGTCAAATGCAGAGAACATTTGACTTTTTAAAAAAAAAATATATATATACCATAACCTTATAGTTACAAGTGCCATCTTCTACAAATAAAAATATTGAAAGGCCTATATTACACTATTTTCTGATCTATGTTATAATCTTTCCTCATCACAAAAATACCTGGAGTTGTGTTTTGTTTCCTTCACACATGTTTAACACACAAACTCTGCATATTTAGGCTGAGTTCTTCTCTCAAACAGAAAACATGCTGTTCCATCTTGTAATGTCACAAGAAGTGCTCCATTGTGTTTTTAAACTTCACAAATTCTCACTAGAATCATTTGGCTGATTACAGCCCTGACATTGCCAATCCCTGCTAAACTAAAGGTAAAAAGTAGCTGTTAACATGAAAACTACCACTACATGACATGACAAGTTGAAACAAAGCGTTTTGAGCTTTGGAAATGTAGACAGACTATATGTACCTTGTTGTTACCTAGTAACATACCAGGTAACAACTTTCTAACATGGTTTAAAGTAATGGGTAATTTGGTCACATTTAATTGGTGAATACAAGTGAAAAAAGAGCAATATTTGTACTTTTTATTATCATGTCATGAGCCATTTGATGAGCTAGTATTTTTTGTTATTTTTTTAACAATAGATGATTTAGAGAATCCAACACAAAATGAATTCACATTTGTGAGGTTTGAGGTGTCTAACATTCAATCATGAGTGTTTCTGCTGAGTTCTGCCAAGGTCGGGCTGAAAGAGCACATTATGAAAGCAGCAAATGAGCCATTATCTTGTGTTGTTTCTACCTCTGCTGCTGTGTCTCCTCACGCAGCAGGGGGCAGATGAACTACAGGCTGCTTGTATCTACACTGATGTTCCAACAAAGGTTCATCTGAGGGGGAATACAAATATTTGTACTGAATCTAAGTTATGTTTAACTCAATGTAAATCCAATGAAAAACAAACAAATATAAAATCCATTCAAAAACATTCTGCTATTCTGGTCCTTTTTAGCACTTGCCTTTCAGAAGCGTTTTGATCTGGAAACTGTGTGAGGGTTTTTGTGTGGGATTGTGCATGGCTTCCCTACAAGTCTCCAAAGACATTACAGCTCTTGCTAAATTTTTAGAGCAAAACAATGGTGAAATAAATTACTACAAAACAAATTACTAAAGTTTGAGCAACCCCTTTGTTAATTCAGGAAGAAATAAACATCAAGAATGGCCTATATTCATAAGTGCAACCTCACCAGACATCCATTCCGTCTTTGCTTTCCCAGATACGCAAACTTAATTCACTTGCTCTAAATGGTCATATCTCTGCTGCATCCCCTGCTCTGTGAATCATGAGTCAGCGGCTCACTGAGGGCAGCTGTGCGCTCTCCTATAGGTGGCACTGTTGTTTCTTATGAGTGAGCTGGGCACAACAGGTTGCACTCGGTTGCATTGCGCTTCTGAATGTGCAGAGAATGGACACCTTTACAAGTTAGAAGTTTGATGTAAATGAGAGAAAATAGATTGTGACAATGTTTACCAATCTGTAGAGAGTGGCTGGTGAGTGTTTTAAAATGAGCTTGCTGCATATGGATGGGGGTATAATCTAGAATAAAGTGGGCTATTTCCAAAGTGCCCAAATGTGTAATTTCACATTTTTTTAAGTAACCAAATTGCGAGGTGTTGTGCGACTCCCTGCTGTGCGCACGGTTCTTTCTGCGTCACCCTTTCGACTATATGGGTCTTATAATCAGAGCAATCTCGTTAATGATTATTGTGTAACTTCCCGCTAAACCACTTGCTAACTTTTCATTTATGTATTCACGTTTACCTTAATCCTACCCAGCAGTGTCTAGGGCAATAAAACCCAACTCGAAATGAGATACAAGCTGGGAACGCAATTATTGGATGCCACAGTACTTGCTGACGCGCAGTCCACCAACCCCCTCATTTGCCAATCGAGCCCCTTTCACTTTGCGCGCACACGGGCTCTCTCTCCCCGGTCCACACGCACACAGCCACGGCCACGGGGGGTGCTTAGAGCAGAGCGAGAGGCAAGAGGACCGGGAGCCGGTGCACTACAGTTGTCTGCGACACGACTATTGCTGGAGACACCAGCTTTGCTTCGGCTTTGTACGTCTTTTGTGGAAGTTAGACACGCGTTCATATCACAGCGCGCCACTTGTCAGCACCGACCTATGTGATTCGGAGCTCTACTGGAGAAGAAAGAAAACAGCGGAGGAGCTTTTTCTAGAGCTGTGCGAAGGATACGGGACTTTTTCCTGCTCTTTTGTTGAAACAAGTCTTTTTAGTCAAAGGGAAGGATTTTGTTTTTGATGGGAGACGTCGTAGCTTGCAGCAGGCTACAATTATGGTAAGAAACTAGTCCTTTTACGCACATTTTTATTGTACATCTTTGCAAGACAATTTGATCATATTTTACTTTTTTTTTGTAAATTGTAATATACTGAAAACATCTTGGCGTATTTAACTTCTAAGAGTATGTTTGATATTTATTAACAACAAAAATAAAACTCTGTTAGCAAAGTTAGCACACACCTGTTTAGCCAATTAATTAGCTGACTGCATTAAGATGACGATCGCGATGCTTTCTGTAACAAGAAGCTAACATTATAGTTTCTTACAAATGCTTTACCTCATTCTTCACGAGTTGGATTTATTTGTTAATATAAAAGTGTCACCCAATTGCCTAAAATTCTTTCAAGCAAACAGCTGGCGGTGTGCAGGGATATAGCAGACCTCCGTCAGCGCACAAGCAACAGTAATCCTGTTGCCCGATTTACTTTAAGTGTTTCTTTTCTTTTATGGTAACACTCATTAAATTTTACATTAATGTTTAGTAAATGTCTTGTTGTCCAGATCCCACATAATGGCAGTTTTAGGGAGAGTCACGTTCATAGAGATTCCAAGGCTTTTGCTAATAAAATTCATACTAGAAAGAATGGGAATATCAGCAGCACATAATATAATCCTGAGCAGCCTCCCATGGTGATCTGAGAGCCCCCTGACGGACTCCTTGTATCTCTGTGTGGCAGGTGGCTGCGAGCGGAACACCACAGTTAAGTTTTACGTGGAGAACTGCCCACAGAGGATAAATTGTGTGCAAAGTCGTGAGGATTTGTGCTGAAGGAGCCCTCGTCTCCCCCTCTTTGACTGCCAATGAGCCCACCCCGAGGAGACATGGGACCACTCAAGTGCGTGGGACTGGCTGCGCTTATCCTCTGCGCAGGTAAGACCCTAAAGAGACCCCACTGTTAATGTCATTGAGCTCTTCTGTCCATAAAGCTGAGCAAGAATTATGGAAATGCAAGGTAACGGCCACGGTCACATAATAAAAGGCGTTGTAAATGCATCAACCTTTATTGAACGATTTTATTCAGAGCGGGCCAAATAATGAAATGCAAATCATTCCCTTTTAGCCGAGAGGACATATATAATTTATGAGACATATAATTAGCTGTAAGCTGTTGTGACAGAATACAAAATGACTTGTAATATTAACATGAATGAACTGTGACAGTCGCCTGCAGTGTGAGTGGGTTTGGGGGTGTTGTGTCAGCCCCTGAAAATAGGATGCAGTGTGCGGAGCAATGCACTGCAGAGCTCCACGAATAACAACAGGCTGCAGACTGGAGCTATGTTGAGGGAGAGCAGGCTTTTCTCACGAAGTTTGTGTAGCTGTGCGGACAGAAGGGCCCATGTGTGTTACGCTTCATTCGGCGTCTGTGGCTATGTTTGATGTCTCACTGTACTGAATGTGTGAAACCTGATTAGTTGCCTGGACTGTGAAGGATTTTTAATGTAGTTTTTTTCTGCAGCAATCCATTTTTATAAACTTCGGATAAATGCAATAGTTCCAGAATAGATACATATAACATTGGTAGAGTGGTCATATCCACTGACCCACAGGTTGGCGGTGCGATTCCAGCTGCCACAGATGAATGCTGCTGTTGTGTCCTTGGAAAAGACACTTAAGCCACCTTGCCCTTAGTGTATGGATGTGTGTGTGAATGGGTGAGTGGTTCTTTGATGTAAAGCGCTTTGAGTACCTTGAAGGAGGAAAAGTGCTATATAAAAATGTGGCCATTTACCATATATTTTTGGCTCCTTGTTTCATTACAATAGCCTTAAATTGTGGAAGGTTTATTTACATTGTGTCATCTATTCACTGTGATATTGATTCACCCCTCAGTCACACTCTATTTTGGTAAGGTACTTCTTCAGCCAAAACTGCCCTAGAGCTCACTGAGGAAAATATTGCTTTTTTTCTTATCATATAATCTCACTGACACTGTGGTTGAAGTGTTTGTCCAATGACACAGTGACCATTATGCAATGTCTGTAACAGGGATCAAACTACTTGCCTTTTCTACCTGCTGAGTCACTCAGTGAGTGCTAGTTTTGTTTGTTTTGTTTTGTGTGGAATCTGAAGTACTAAAAGTTGCTCTTAAAAGTAATTGAACAAATGAGATAATCGGGACCCCCCTTTGACTTTGAGCTATAATCTCTAATGGAACACCACATTCCACTGTTCCTGCTGGGACAAAGGCTAGTAACTCTTATAAAAATGCCATACACTTGTAATGTTCTTTACAGGCTTGTCAAAGCTTCTCAAACTTCAACACTGGTCATTATTCATTCGCTCCATACTCTGTGGTATTACGCTGCTGTTGTAGCCTCAGCTGCCTTGGTTAGACTGGTGGAAGCGAGACTGGCCCTCTTTACCACCACCAATCATTTACACACTCAATTCATTCATACCAGACAAGGTGGGTGAAATGTCTTGCTTAAGGACTTGTGTTCTAAACCCATCACCTTCTAGGAATTTACACCAGGAGCATCATCAGCACGTAACGTAGACAGAGCTGCATATGTGCATACTTTTAAAAGGTTCAATTTACACTAGAGGCAGTAGATCTGCTCCTGTGATGCCAGCCTCTGTGTATTCTCACATTTAAACACCAGCTTCTGTGTATTCTCACGTTTAAACACTAAACTTTTTACATTGCCTATGTATTCATTGTTGATTGGATGAATTATGTTTTAAATCACAACACAAAGGTTGACAACAAGAGAGACAATGCTTTGCAGCGATAACATACCTGTGGTGGCTCGTATTAATTAAGCTACTCACCATTTCACTTTGGTTGTCTGCACCATGTCTGCACCTTTTCCTTCAGAAGTTCTTCTTGCAAAGTTGCTCTCTGATGCCGTAAAGTGTTTTATTTTTATCCTCCACGGCTGTGAACTTTCCATAGTCCACCATGAGTCATTTCCCGAGCTCCAGGATGCAACTCACGGTGTTTTCACGACTATAGTGGTTTTAGAGAACATATTTTGAAAGGACATCGTAAGTTTATTTTGGCACCACGTGCCTATTTCCTGTCTTTCCCCTGACGCTCTGTTGACGCCGCAACATTAGAACTCAAACCTATTTTGAGCAGCGTGTAGAGTAATGATGGCTGCTGGACGTGCATATGACACTGCTGGTGTAAATTGCCCAACCAGTTAAAATGGAAAGTGATACCTGCGCGTATGCTGCTCGTATGCTGTGCTACTGTGCTTCGCGCTGTCACATTTTTTTTTTACATGTAAGGTACTATGATGATCTGAAACTTGATCCAGCATTTTTTGTCTATTATATACATTACATTTTCATTGTGTCTTTGTATTTGAAAATGGAGCAGTAACTTGTGACTTATATAGCACTTCAGAAAAGAAACTCAAAGCATTACCGATGATTGTTTTCACCACATGAAAGGCACTCCGCAAATATATAGGAAGAGAAGAGATTGATCTGACCGGGTCTGGCCAGCCCCCTAATCCTCGCAGGTGAAAGTGGAGAAAGAAAACAGATTCTTTCCTGTCAGTCAGCTGGCGGCGCACACTGTCTCAGAGGATATTATAACTCTGAAGCCATCTGATTGCTTTCACCCAGAGCTTTCTGCTTGTCTCCCAGCACCCCTGACAGCCACATACTTCACTGTAGGGACCTGCACACACTGTCAGACTGGCCATCACAAACACAAACCACATACTCCTGTTTACTCTTCTATTTGTTCAGACAGAGAGCCAAGTTTTTCACAATAAGACACTTGTCATTTCTCGCCAAATGGGCTCCTCCCACATGAAATGGACAATGTAATGTCTGAAACTGTTTGTATTAAAACAAATATTTGAATTACAATTCTTGGCGCTGATACTGAAAGATCTGCTGAACTGGATATTGGCTTCCACATATTATAAGTAATAACGTAGTAAGACTATTTACTGCTTATAACTGGCCCAGAAAGTCTAATAATGTTTGATTTTTACTTTTTTTTAAAATTTACACAAGGCTGTTCTGTTCAATGAAAATTCACTAGCAAGGACCACGCCACAACAATGGAATATGATGAAGATGTTTATTGACACCGGATAGACGTGATGGCTGATAGGGAGACTTAGTGAAGGGGGGTACAATCTTAAATCCAAAATGGTCACCCAGCTGACTCGGAACCCCCCTCCTTGAAGATGATGTCTTCGAACTGAAGGATGGGTGAAAGACTCAGGTGGGAGGGTGGTGGTTGAGAGAGCTGACACGGATGGTGTTGTCAGGATAGGCCGTATAAATAGGGCTTCTGGGTGATTGAAGGTGTGGTTGAGACAAGATGTGGTAGTCTGGAGAGAAGATTGAGGCGTGGTTCAGCTCCTGAATCTCAGTTAATCATATTAACGCCAATGTATCATGAATAAAGATGTTATACATTTCATTTTAGAAGTATGCTTTATTCCTGCCATAAAAGCACTTTGTCAAATGCATAGGAACATATCCTCCTCTTACCCTTTTTAAAGTGTGTGGGCCTAATCCAGGGGTGGGCAAACTACGGCCCGGGGGCCGTATGCGGCCCTTTAAACCTTTTAGTCCGGCCCGCCGAACTGGAATAAATTACAATAATAAACCTTGTTGATGTTTTATTTGTCATGCATTTCCAGCGTTTCCCAGTAGATGGCGCACTATAGATACATTGAGTTGTGGCGTATTATGTTGGCCGCAATGCTTTATGGGAAAGTGTTCTTACAGGAGTTATTCGGACCATGAGTGAAGTAGTTGGTGCTTAAGATATAAGACTGCACTGCTTCCAGTTTGAGTTGGTAAAAAATCTATCAAGGAAACCTGTAATCTCTGGGTTGTAATTAATAATGTGAATAACATTTTGGAGTCAGGTTGTACCACAGTCACAGGTGCATATCTGTGGTTGTTTGGCGTGAGCTTTGTTTTTGAGCTGTTACCAGTCATATTCGAAAAAGGTGAACTCACGATACACATTCACTCATGGTGTGCAGTGGAACAGGTCTCAACAGTTTTATGTGTTCTGAATCTTTCACAGCAGTGATGAAACATGTAGTGCGCGTCTGAAGTCCTAGGTAAATGTGAATAAGAATGTAATGAATCTGAGCTCTTAACACGTTGTGTCCTGTTTTCTGTCCGGCCCTTCAGTCAAACTTTAGGACCCTATGTGGCCCGCGAGCCAGAAAGTTTGCCCACCCCTGGCCTAATCTGTGTAGTCAGGATCAAATTGAAAAGTTACAAAAGCAAACTGCTTTCAGCATTAATTAAATAACCAGTCTCTCTAACCCTCAGACTAAACAAACGCTCCACCAAGATTCAAAGTCCTCGTAACTCAAGGTGTGAAGCACTTTATACCAGATTCACAGCAGGTAATGGAGAGAATGAAGGTCAAAAAAGAGGCTTTCTGTTATTTAAAATGATCAGCCATGTCTATTCCTGCCTGTAATGGTTGCAATATCATATGAAAAAAAAAAAACACTATAATTTTGTCAACTTTAATATGTAAGTTGAGACTCTATTCCTTACATTTTGAATCAAAATTCAATGCACACTTTCTTAGCATCAAGTCAGTGATAAAAAGAAACCAAACTTTGGTGAGATAAGCGCAGGCCTGTCTAAAAGCGAGGGGGCCCGATGTGACCCTGCATATTAACACTGTGAAATCTGGCCTGGTGTCTGCTCCAGAACGCCTCATGGGAGCGTTACTTGTTGGCACTGAGTTTCCAGTTTAATTCTGAGGTTGTTGGCAGGGCGAGTTACCTCTGGGCAGTGGTTGAAAAAACGCATAATCCTATAGCTGACAGAGGAGGATTGTGTGTTTTCAAACTTTTGTATAAGAGTTCAAAAGGTGCATCTATAAGATCTGGGGTTCATTTCCATAATACAAGCGGCAGGAT